AATACATCTCCGAATTATTAAAAACATGCCAGGTATAAAAAAATAAATATATTTACTGTAAAAAAAGTCATTATTTTCTTGCCACCCCATAACAACTCGTACTACCCCTTCCAAAAAATTAGGTAATTCATAAAAAAAATTAATGAGCTCATTAGGCATCCCTGTTAGATAAGAAGATAGTAAGAACTTGGAAATTCTATTTTGTCCTCTTATAAGATTAGAGAAAAATAGTTTGCTAAATTTGACTCATTCACTAAATTATTTTCTGGTGTTTTGCTGAATTTTCTTTCAAACTTTCATAATTATATATATTTTATTAAAACCAGAAAAAACACCTTGGCTCCCGGCGAAAAAGCCGGAGCGCACGTCCGGCGTCGTGGTACTGGATATTCCGACGAAGCCGACATCCTGTCTCCTCTCAAAAAAGACAAGTCTGGCCACATTCACTTTCGAAAAGTAATCGATACTCCTCGGGGCGAGTTTAAACCGTCCATTCGTGCTAATAAATTACTTTCACTTTACAGAAACACACTCTCACCCCAGAGTGCTCGATATTCCTCGGGGTTGGGGATAATACCCCTTTCACGCTAATAATTTACATTCACACCAACACATACACAAGCACACGCAACACATAAACACATACTACATACATTGAACAACTCTTATAGCCCTGAGGCACTTAATCAACGATCCGTTCCCACTGCCGTAAGGCCACGCATAGGTTAGCAGGGACGCAGTCGTTCATCCCGCAGCCTTCGAGTTTTCTGCATTGTAAAATACGCTCGATGCTTAATCTTTCGGTACCTAATGGACAGCGGCGCTCTCTTTCCTGACAGCAAGTGCGGGCATAGGTCACACTAGGCTGTGTATGCCTAGTATGTCCTATGCGTAGCCTAGTAAATATGGCCCTTTCTATTCTAGGCCCGGCCTCCGTTGACCAGGGAGCAAGAAACAAAGAACAAAATACGTCTGGTGTCCGATTATTTTTTTAAATATTTTCTAATTTTACTTAATTATTATTATTAATATTATTATTATTTATTGTTTTTATTTTTAATTATGTATTTATTTTTCGTAGCCGGGTAAGTGTGTACTCGCTTATCCCTGATGTTTCAAAAGTAAAATATGATATTAAAGGCTGAAAAATATCGAGATAAGCTATAAGTGGTTAGTGGTTAATGTTTATTACATTTTTTGATAATGTTGACTAGAATAAATGTCCGTTAGCTTTAAATTGAGCGTTTTTATTTTCTAAAAAAAAAAGGTTAACGAGGAGAAGCTGTGTAAAACGAGCGACAAGGGCCATAATTTAAGAGGGTGGCAAGTAATTGGGAGCATAAATTGCGGTCGCAGCACTTGCAGCAGCTCGAACAAACTGAATTTGCAGCCCTTTACGCCTTGCGTCTTTTCAGTCGGTTTACACTCACGCCACATGTACAAGCCGGGTCCAATTGTTTCTTAACTCCACCCGAGAAATACGACTTTGTGGTGTCGTTGGAAAAATGCCTTACAGCTTTATTGCTTTTACATTGAGTTATGTCACAATGTAACGAGTACAATCAATGATGTAGCCGCGTGAGCAATTTATGCGATAGAATTATATATAATGCTATACAGTAACCTTATTTTTTTATAGACAACCGCAAATGTCAAAAAGATTATCTTTCAAACAATTTTTAGAGCAAGGAAAGAAGTTAAAAATGCAATTAAATGTATCAAAGCTTTGTCTTAATAATTGTACACCTTGCGATACAATTAAGCACCAAGCGATGGGATTAAACTGCATAAAAATGAATAGAGATATTTGTAATTTCTATTAATTTCTATTTTGGTTCATNATGTATATATTCTTCTTAGTTTGGATAAAGCAAAATAGAAAATACAAACCAAAAACAATAAAATGTTAATCATTTTTAATAATGGATTTACTTAACAATAGCAAACATGAAGATTACTCATTATTTGGAGATCGTGCGATGCCGGCTGGTGTGACATAGATTTTAGAAAAACATTTTCTTTATCGTGCCAACGTTTCGATCATTACTGAGATCATCTTCAGGGCTCAAAGTGTTTGTTTTCCGTGTAGATGTGTCATTCTTGTCTGCCGTGTTGAGTGTGTGTGTGTGTGTGTGTGTGTGTGTGTGTGTGTGTGTGTGTGTGTGTGTGTGTGCAGTGCATGGGCACTCTCAAGACAGACACGTTTATAAATCCCAGGCCCTGAAGATGATCTCAATAAAAATCGAAACGTTGGAAAGATAAAGAAAATGTTTTTCTAAAACCTACGTCACACCAGACCGCATCTCACGATTTCCGAATAATCATTAACTAGCGTCACTAAAACCACATGTTTCAATACATGTAGAATGTGAAAAAAGGGAATTTCTAACATTGTATAAATTCACTTGTTTTCACGTCTTACATGTATTTAAATTAAACAACGTTTATAAATCCCAGGCCCTGAAGATGATCTCAATAAAGATCGAAACGTTGGAAAGATAAAGAAAATATTTTTCTAAAACCTACGTCACACCAGACCGCATCTCACGATTTCTGAATAATTACTTATTAATAGTATGCTTAATCGGTGCACAGAGGTTTTAGCTAACAGAGCAGTTTAAACAATTATCGTGTCCAATCGACAAAATTATGGAATTAAAATCTTTTATTTTGTTGTTCTTCAAAATCCCATAATTAAATTTTCCTACAGTAAAACACATAATAATTTCTAATAAATTATAATGCATTTTATAATTAAAATAAAATAAAAATGCTAGAGGACACTACAAAATTGGCAACATCCCTATTCATTTTTGTGCAATCAAAGCAATTTAAAAAGTGAAATCAAATTTAGAATAATTCATTACCTTAATATTTATGTTAACATGCTAAATTATAAATAGGTACTGTATATTATCTTGTGTGTATATATGTAAGAAATATAACCGGTGAAAAGCTCACCGACAACATTAACGTATCACAGATGTGTTTTGAAAATATAATTCTTTTGAATGCATAGTTATTTGGTTTGTTTGTACAACAATTATATAGAATCTAGAACAAAAACTAAACTTGTGGGTGCTTTTAGCAAAAATGGATATATGGGACAATTGACGAGCTGAGTATGAGCAGAAGGGAATTCGTTCCTGTACCATAAAAAAATTATTTAAAAAACTAACACCGCCGCTTTTTAAAACCCGATTTACATTCAAGTCACGATTCCAAACAAGGTTAGCATAATGTTGCAAAATAATTTTTACCGGTGTTGGTTCTTAAGGTTGTCCTGGTAAAGGGGTATAGCTTTATGGTCCTTATTACGCAGTCTTTCGGATAGGAAAACCCGGTAAACTGATGTTTTCCCGTTGGCAGGAATTTTATGTATGTTACAAACCATTTGGTATACGATATCAACTATTTTACGAGTTGAGATCAACTGCCGGTGTTTTGTATGTTTAAGAAATACAATTTAAAAAAAAAGGACTGTTGTCAGTTATGCAATGGATAAATAATGATACTGAAATCATCATGGCTTGATAGAACAAGTTCACCTGTTTCGTTGATTAATCAAAACACATTTCTACCCTCTTCTACTATTTGAAATTTTGAATTTCAAAGTTTAATCGAAGCTTAGTATAATCCATTTACGTTTGTAATGATAATTGACCAAGTTACTTCTTTAAATTAATTATTCTTTTTATGTAAGGTCTTGGTTGAGATAAAAAAGTCAGTGTCATAAGCGGGATTCGAACCCATGACTTTCGGCTAAATACGCCGCTGCTCTACCACTTGAGCTACCGTGACTTCTATCCTCGGACACCAATTCTCCATATCTTTGAAAATGGCCGAGTGGGAAAATTCGATCGAATTTGTTTTATGGTCATGAGGTTATCTATAAATATCAAAAATCTTGACCATCCATTTGCACTTTGTTGAAAGATTAATATAACGTTAAACACACCTGAGATAGAAAACCCAGGATGAAAGATTGAGAAAGAGTTCAACATCAAGCTCCGAAAAATGTTTTGTTCTCTATGCTCGACGAAAGGAAGTATCTTCTCAGCCAGGAGGTGTCCAAAGCCTTAGATGTGTAATTCCGTCCTGCTTTGTGGTCGTGCCAGCAAGAGCGAACGTCAAATTATACAACGAATGTAAATAGCATAATGAAATCATAGAAGGCTCCGGTACAATAAACAGCACTAGATCGGGTAGACCGAATCATCCCATTTACTGAAGAAGCGTTTATAGCCAAAAATACTCCGGCTGGTAGAATTGACTCAAGAAATCATAACAGACCAAAAAAGAACCATTGTCCATACTCGCCAAATTGTTAAATACTTGTTGGAAGGTATTCCCTAATTAAACATTGATTCATATTTTCATCCAAAAACGGTGCATCTCTTCGCAACTGTTGGCATTAGTCAACGGACATTGTGTCACACCGAAGTAGATTTAATTGGACGAAACAAAATGAAGATCCGGATAATCTAATGGTTAGGAATGATCATTTACCATTGAAAGCGAAGCGATTTGTGTGATCTTATGGCTTCAGGACTCGGGTTATACCTTAGCCATCAACAAAACCTACGAAATTTTCAAACGATGAATGCAAATTTCCCCACGATATCAAGCTAGAAACGGACTACGAAATGATCAAACCAAGCAAGCAGTAGAGCAAAGTAAAAATAACAGGCTGTCCAATAATTTGACGTCGTTCACATAACCAGGCAACTGAGTGTCAAATATAATGACATTACTGCAATAAATTATTAGCAATATTAGTTATTTTAGGGTAGATAGAAATTCTAATAGTCTCCATACTTGAGGGAAGAAATCGATGTTGAAAAAGTATATAGATATTATTTTTAGATCATTGAATATATTATCAGCAATTATAAATAACTAACCGTTGAATATTTTTTAAGAACTAAAGAATAAATATCGTCTAAATGGATGATAAACTATCAATTAGTATTGTGATGTATAAGCATATCAGTACTTACTTCAAGCTGCTTCCAGCAAACTGCTAGTGCCCTGGAAAAGAAACCATAAATATATTACTCTATTATCTTTCCAAATCTAAAAAAAATTAAAATATTGAACAATTTATCATAGTGATGTAATGGAAAATATTTTGCAGCCAATTCACCCCTTTGTGTATCCAAGTGGAAACGCCTGCAATAAGTTCTGAGCAAAGGAACATCTGGAGTCTGTTAGGTCTGAGGGTTTGCTAGCCTTTACGTTGAACTCGAAACTAACAAGCTTAAACTCCCTGAAACTCCCGGCTAGGCACAATAAGGTTTCTCAAATGGGCTCCCGGACATGAGGGTACAGGAGTAAAACGGAGAAGCTTTATCGTCGAAGGGACGCATTGGCTTTCCTCATCGGGCCTTTCTACCGAACTCTTAAAAGTTTTCTGAAATACGAGATTAGAAAGTGTGAAAAAGAAACAACCTCCGACCCTAGATAATAACTTGGGCTTGGACGAGTCAAGAAGTTTGTTACCTCCACCAAGATAAAAATCGGCCAATTCAATTCCTATTAAACTCTAAACTATTTGAGTAATAATGAAAAAATGAATGTTTTCGTGGAATACTGATTTATATAAGTTCAAATCTGCACACGTTTGCACATACAGGCACGGGTGAAGAGAGTTGAGCCTATCAGTTCTCACACTAAACTGCCATGTCCAATTTTGGTAATTTACAATAAATTACCGATAGGCCTCGAGAATCACCCACCTCGGGTGTTGGCAATCCAGGGTGAGATCCCCTCTAATCCGATGTTGCTTGGGCTCAAGTGGCTGTCAGCAGCTAGGCAGCCCCCATCCGTCTCTAAAGCAAAAATTCTTTCCTATTTTCATACGATTCAGTCACTTAAGGTGGTGGAATACTCGATATTCTTCCAGTACTCTCTATACCTATCATATAACTAACCTAATTTGGGGTCAATGGAAAGTCAATATTTCGCGTTCTGCCCACTCACACTACACATTCACGCTAATAAATACATTCACTCTGAACATACGTTAGGGCACATAACACTGTTTCCTCCAAGAATCAGATCGGGGACCCAAATGCACGTTGAGCTCGTGCTCAACCACAATTCTCATATCAGGTGGCATTCGTACGTGCATTCTACCTCGAGCCAAGGAATTGCACCGTTCAATTAAGTAGGACATACCGAGCAACCTTTCTCCACATGCCGGATACATACGCGGGCTTTGGCTCAAAAGTGTCTAAGTCGCATGGCTTACCCTTAACCGGATGAGAATGACCCTTCTTTTACGAGTCAGATTCTTCGAGGGCCACCTATCGACAGTGCTCTTGGCAAGGGAGGTTTCTTTGCCGATTCGAGGATTAATGACAGAGATAAAGGGAAACATATGTAGCATACAGAACTTAGAACTTACAATTCTGCTTTGTCATTCAATGATCTTCAGCTAGATAAGGTAAATATAACATAAACTGGGTTATTAGCATGATTTTAATATGTACTGAGCGAGAGAGAGAGAGTGAGAAAGAGAGAGCGAGAAGTGGCGAACAATAGGGTGATGTATTTATAAGCCAGGTGTGTGGAGCCAGGCAAGCTTTTATTATAAATAAGCGACTTTTACGATACAAACAGTTCATCCGTTCTGTATCTGAAACAACGTCCCGTTTTTGTTTAACTGTCAAAACAGTTTTTACGATGAAACGGCTTTTTATTCCCAAGCGAATTCATATTCGACTAAATGTGACCGTATTCCCCAAACGGCATTTATTTAACTTTTTAATTCACATAAATGTGCGTTTTACCCAGAAAGGCATCTATGAATGTAGAAAATCTCTGGAAAATCAATTCAAACAGAAGCTAGAGGGCAGAGAAAAAAATATTTCGAAGAAAAAAATACTTTGCTAGTACTATAATTAAATAGCAAATTAAAAATCTATTCTGTAGCCACCCCCTTAAAAAAAGTACAACTATGAATCCTGATAATCTATAATAAAATAACAATAAAAAAGTTCTAGTGCACAGCTGTTCGGAACATAACATTAACTTCACTCAATTAATTATGCACATTTCTTTCGAAATAAAAAATTTGTGTCACAAGCAGGATTCGAACCCACGACTTTCGGCTGGATACGCCGCTGTTCTACCACTTGAGCTGCTGTGTGTGACTTCGATCGCCCATGCCACAAACTTATCATTTCGACTCACCGTTTTTTCCACTTATTAATTATATTAATTGTCCAATCCAATTAATTTCGTAATTTTTATGTCGATATTTTGATTTCATTGGTGCTAATATAGTTTTATAAATTGATACTTTCTGATCTTTTCTTTCTCAAAACGGATTATAAGCGAAAATTAATTGAGATTTGCATTTCGGATCTGCAGAGTGAATGAATTTGTAGTTTTGTCTTTTCTGACCATCTGATCAGTTTACTCACGCAGTTCATAAGTAGTTTGTAAATAAAGAATTCGGAAAAGAAATTATAATAACAAACCGCCACTGAAGATGACGTTCTGATAGCCTAACCAGCACGGTAGGCAGTTCAGACGATCGGAATCAACAAACCCAAGAAGATAACCAAAAATATTCTATATATTATTTTTATTATTAGCATTTTGTACATCAACAACAAAGAGAAACTCGGCAGCAGACTGACATGGAATCCCAAGACAAGACTTAAAAAACAGGTACTTAATACAAGACGTGGACTACTACGAAGACTTCTAAGACCGAAATCGACTTTGACAATTACGACAAAGCTATTATTACCTTTTATTGAAATCCTACGTAACTGATCGCTGTTTCAGAGTGAGGTGCGGCAATGAATTCTCGGAAGTCAAATAGATAAAGGCAGGTGTACCGCAAGGTTGTATCCTTGGTCCTATCCTACATATCATTTATGCTGCTGACCTACCGATATATCCTGACACTATTATCACCACCTACGCAGACGACACCGCAATCCTATCCTTTAATTCGAATCCTGTCCAAGCTACCTCCAACATCCAGGAACACCTTGAGCTTATCGAAGACTGGTTTAAAAAATGGAAGACAAGACTGAACGAAGAAAAATGCACTTAGTGAATTTTTACGATGAAAAAGCAGTGTTGCCCTTCATAGTACATCAACAACAAAGAGATACCAGTTTCCACTCAAGTTACATACCTGGAACTATATATCGACAGCAGACCGACGTGGAATCCCCACACAAGACTTTAAGAAAAACTTAATACAAGACTTGGTCTACCACGAAGACTTCTAAGACCAAAATCGACTTTGACAATTAAGACAAAACTAACACTGTACAAGACTTTACTGAGACCAATATGGACATACGAAGTGGAACTCTGGGGTATGCCAAGCCTTCCAATATCCAGCGCATCCAGTCCGTCTAATCAAAAGTTCTTACAGAAATTGTCAAAGCGACTTATTATGTCACTAACCTCACTAAACTTAACTTAAAGACCCTCAACATATCTTTTGTCAACAAACTACTCCGGTCCAGATTCTAAACCTTCCACACCAACCATTCGAACCATCCTAAACATACTGCTCGAGCCCTCTCCACTCATTCCCATCCTGACAACCCACCACGTCGCCTCAACTGACTAAGGCCTCGGGATCTCCTTGACCCCTAATCACACACACTGAGTGCCAACAATGGCTGGCTCCTCAAAGCATGTGTTCTACCGGTGCAGTACTGGCATTAGTGCTAGTGGTGTGCTGTGTAATATATGAATCATGTACGTATAGGAAACAAATAAATTAACAAAAAAAACTATTTCTGCCAGAACTTTTCTTGGTTTAAACAATTCTCAATAATTAAATAATCGATTGAAACCGACTCTGACGTAAAAACTCTGCGTATATCATAATGTAGTAAAGAATTTATAGTTTAAAGTTTATAGGCAGACGTATGAATATCAAAACTTTTGTTTGTTTTTTATAATTGTTTAAACTATTATTGCTTGTCGTTAACCTTTCGTTATAAAATCAAGATAAATCCACCAAATGGCTCGTGAAATTGATGATAGTCCCTCAATGGGCTGTGCAATAATTGGAAAGCTGCGATAAGAGTCGTGAAAAGTACAGGGCGTGGCAACGTTGATGCTATCGTGATTCATCCAAGGAAAGGCTATCTTCAACCATCAACGAAATCGTCCCCATCAGCCATTTACAAATCGTCATTTACGCGAATCAAGAAAATAAGTTCGCTCAGGTGGAAATATAAACAATTTTGTTATGTTTAGCTTGAATTTCTAAAAGTCTTGTAACTTTAAGATAAATTAAGAATATTACGTTATTATAAAAATAGTTCCTACACAGTATACGGTTGTCCTTTTTTAGATGGCACGGTTGAATTTCTCTTGAACCAATGACGCTATCAAAAAAAATAAAAATAAAAATAAAAAAAACATGTTTGTCTATTTTCAAATTTTTAACTTTTTTGGAGAAAAATTATACACCATATCTCTGGCCCAGTCCAATTTCAGCATTTCAAATACGACCCTTTACATCCTGACACTTCATTTTAAAGGATTTACGCTGAAAACAATGGTGCAATCGGATTTTAAATTGGTCAAAAAGTTTGAAAAAAGGTATTGTTGTGGTTTGTTTGGTGGTTTATTCCAATAATTTGCTTCTCCACTAAAATAAACATTGATTGCCTTTATTGTTTATATTCTGTCATTGTTTGTCAAACTCGCAGCAAATCTTAATTTCTGGGAGTAAATAAATTTTATACTAACTAATTCGTTACATTCAGTATTCCCTTCAAAATGAACCTAAGAGCACATGCAGTCCAGTTGTACTTCCAGAAATTTCCTGATCGCCCCAGAGTAAACCACAAATGTCATTAGAGGTGAAGCTGGATTCATCAGACCATAGGATGTATGGAAGAACGTTTTTTTTCAGCTTCCCAAATCGACATTTGTGCAAGGAACGTTAAACGCCTTCATAATCGAAGTCCCGAAGTCCCTGAACAAGATGAGAGCGATACGGCTTAAAATTGTAAATCCGGAGTACCACAAGGATTTAA